TCATACTGGGGTGGTATCCAGTCTCTTTTCTGCTACTTTGCTTGTAGCGCTTGTTCTAGTTCCAGTTTTCTTTTTTATTGCTTTTCTGACTTCAGCTTTTGTATTTCATTGAACTCATTTCACAGACGAATTTATTTTCCTTCATTAATAAAAGTATTTATGATCACAGTTTTAATTTGATCAATTTGAATGTGCATGTTTTTTTTATTTTATGCACCTCCTCCCACCCCCCTATTTTGTGCGACAGGATAGTTTTAAAATCAACCCTGAGTTTTTCCTTTTCTTACATATCATTTGCATTTGAATAAAGGGACCTTTGAAAAATCTTACTTTTGGAAGGAATAGAGAAGTAAGATAGTGAGTAGATAGCTTGAGTTTATAGTGCCCCATGGCTCTCTTAGGATAACAGGCAATCTCTTGGACTCATAGTGAAGCCCTGTCTGACAGAAAAGTATACATGTGTGTCTTCTTCAGCTAAGACAAATTGGTTACTACCAGACCACTTGACATCTTGCCAGACTCTGCTAATGCCTTCTTTCACTGATGATTGTTCCCAAATTTTCTTTGTTCATCCAAGCCTTCCTTGCAATTCCCATGCTGTCAGCTAGGGTTCACCGGCGCTACAAAGCCCAGACTCCCATGCCTGCTCTTTTATTCTTCAGGGTGGGTATTCGGTTCCTTTTCCTTTGGGAAACTGCTCACTGCCAGCCACTTGTGATCTGCTGTGTCAGACCATTTTGGGGGTAATTTCCTCTGTTCTAAGTAGCCCTTAAAGGAGCCCTCGTGGCACTTTTGATGGCACTGTTGGGTAATCTTGGAACTGCTAACCTCAAGGTCAGCATTCAAATCCACCTGCCCCTCTGGAGGAGAAAGGTGAGACGAATGTAAACATTTACAGCCTCAGGAATCTTATGCAGCTGTGTTTCCCAAAGTATGCAGTGCCATCTCATGGTGGGTGCTGGAAAGATACAGGGGACTCAAAAAGTAGATACTTAATAAAGTTTATCTTGAATTATGGGCACAAAAGTTTTAAATGCAAGGTGGGGGAGGGAGTGCTGAATTTTTTTATGCAAAGGGGGAAGTAGGCCAAGTAATTTTAGAAACCTGTTCTGTCTAGGGTCTCAGTATGAGTCAAAATCATCACAGCAGCAGTGGCTTTTTGTTTGTGTGTGTCGTGGAGTTCTGGTGGCTTGATGGGTTCCACATTGGGCTGCTAACCACGAAGTCAGCAGTTGGAACCTATCACCTGTTCCACCGGAAGAGCGTGAGGCTTCCTGCTCACGGAGAGTTCTCATCTGTCCTGTATGCTCGCTGTGAATCAGAATTGCCGTGGTGGTAGTGGGTTGACCTGGGTCAGTGGGTTTGGGTTTTTTTGTTAAGTAGTTCTTCATAGACTTTCGTTCCAGTTTGTAAATGTTATCTAGTTTGTTGCTGCTGAAGTTTACATTTCTTTTCTCGTTCATTTTTGGTTTTTTTCAGGTATAAAACAACAATACTCTTTATACCACGCAAGGGTTATTATTAATGAGAAACACATATAATGCAAATGATTAATTTTATTCTGATGATACTAAATTATGTTATTTTTAAACAGCGGCTTCATTTGACAACAATTTAAAAAATGAAAAGCTCAGACATAGAGGAAAGCATACAAAAACATTAACTAGGTTTAAAGGAATACTTCCAAACATGTTTTAATATTGGTGACTGCTAAATGCACTCTAGTGCATTTAACTTAAAGCCTTTTTTCCTTTCTCCTTAAATCATCTGCTACTTGAGTTGAGTTAATTGCCTATAAATTCAAAATACTCTTAATATTCTTGAATCTTTTTTTTTT